TTAAGAATTAAAAAAATATATAAACCTGAAATTCTAAAAGAGGAAGTCCTCTTTTCAGAGAGATGGGATCTTCTTATAAACATATAAGCTTTTAAGGGGTTTAAAGAACCTAAAGGTCACAGAAAAATGTATAATGAGATATGATTCTGAGAGGACATAACATATTTGAGCAAAAGCCAGATCAGAAGGGGACACAACCAGGAAGATAGTGTGTCTGGAAAGCTAAAGCCAAGAACAAGTTGAGGTGTAGAAGATAAAAAAATAATAATAATAATGCTAAGGTTACCATCTTTCTCTTACATACACAAATACACATATACGAGGTCTGTCCAGAAAAAGTTCAGCCATTTTTATTAAAATGAGAATGGTTTGAGTGACATTGAGTTAACCTGGCAGTCAAGGGTAGTGGACTCCAACGTGTATGCATCAACAATGATGCCTTCACTGTACTAGTCAACAGCAGACACCTTTGAGTGAGCATGTGTACTGTGTGGCCATTACATTCAAAATGACTGAGCGAGTAGAGCAAAACATCTGCATCAAAGGTTGCATTAAGCTTGAACATTCCTCTGCAAAAACTATTTGGATGATTCAGAAGGCCATGGCTATGAGCAACTGGTGATTGGCAGCTTTATGATGACAATTCGCCTACTTGTTCATCATGTCCTGTGCAGAGTTTTTTGGTGAAACAACAAATCACCCAGGTGACTCATTCTCCCTATAGCCCAGATTTGGTGCCCCATGACTTCTGTATTTTCCCAAAACTAAAATCACCTTTGAAAGAGATGAGATTCAGGAAAATACAACGGGGCAGCTGGTGGCAATTGGAAGAAATGTTTGAGGTCCCGAGGTACCTACTTTGAAGGGGACTGAGGTCCTTTGTACAATGTTTCTTGTCTTTGTATGTTCTTCCATAAATGTTTCTGTTTTATCCATATGGCTGGATAGCTTATGGGCAGACCATTTATATATGTACACACACACAAATAGAGAGAAGATTCTTATCTACACATAGATAAGCACACAGATATATGCAATGATGAAATGATTTTAGAACATATAAAAAGATGTTTCTTCTGTTTCAGGTAAATAGTAATTATTGAAAACAAATAAAAACAAAGAATGAGGACTAATCAAATTACATTTTGTTATGACCTTTATCGTCCTAGCAAGAACATTCCTGAAATGAGCAGAGAAGAAATTCAAAGCAGTAGAAATCTAAACATTGAAACTAAGGTAGACAATAAAATAAATATTTGTTTTCAGATTTGAACAGCATGGCCCAGGTCATTTATAAGCTAGCACAATGAAAGTTTTGCCAACAATGGGAAAAATAGCATAGAACAGAAAGTTGACATTTTCCACAAAGAAAATAAATCTGCTCTGTGAGCTTAATAAAGAGAGAAAAATTTTAGAAATTACAGAAAAAACTATGTTTTTCTTTATTTTTAAAAGTAAATGATTTTAGGGTTCTTTTTAAAAACCATTAATATTTACAATGAGATCATTAGTAACAATTGTTACAAATTTTGGAAAAGGGTTTTAGAGTTATACAATGAGAGGAATATAATATATTTTAATTTAGGAAGGCATTTATATAATTCTACACAACACTCTTTTGGACAAACAGAGTTTGGCTAGATGACATTTCTAATGGCTAGTAAAGTTTATGATTGTTATTGATCAGGACAGAGGCCTCTGGTAATGTTTTGAAGGGCAGTATATTTTTACATATACATAACATGGCATTGACTCCTGAGTTTGTTATCTTATTCCGAGCTCTAACAACTTACACAAGGTAACCTATTCCAATTTTACAGGTGCAGGGACTGAGTTTCAAAGTGGCAAAATAACTTTCTTCATACCGGGAATCTAGTAATTGCACGATTGGTTTTAAAACTCATGTCTGCACGATTTTTCTGCTGTATCTCCTCTGAAGACAAAAGGTATACAATATCAAGTCTGTGGTGAAATAAAATGAAGAAGCTATGTTAAAACAGTAAAGACAGAATCAAGGCTGGAATATGGGTAGGAATCATGGGTCAGAAGAAACAAGGTGAGATTCTCTTGAAATTAATATTAATTATTAAAATAAACCTCAAAAATCAAATGTATAAAAAAGCAAATCATGTTTTATGTATAGACCATGTAACTAATACCACAAAGTTTGGTTGTGGGCTCTATTAGTATGGGAATAAAAATAAGTGTAATTCTGCATTAATGGATATATTGACAAGAAAGAAGAAAATTAGACTGTTTTCCATTGCTAGAGGACATTGAGAGTAGTGTTTTCAATGTTAATGCTGGGTGCCATGTTCTAAAAACATGTTGACAAACTGGAAAATATTGAGTGCTATTTTTTCATTTAGATACTGTTATTGTACAGTTCAGTATTTCTATGAGAGCTTTGTGAGAATTCCCAGAGACTACTGGCTCAATAAGAAATGAAATGTCCTAGTCTCATAAGTGTGGCTACATGTGAGAAATAGTTCCAAATGACACATTGATTTCTAAATTATGTTTTTATACCTGGAAAATATCTACTTTGTAAGTTGCACAAGGTTATAGTTTTTCAATGAGAATGCAAAAGTGCTTGCATTAATGCTTTTATAACCATACCTGTTTTTGCTGATAAAATGTGTATTTTCCAAAAATATACATTTCCAAATTTTTACTGTGCTTTTACAAGATGTTTTTCTTTGATGGTCATAAATGCTGAAATGGCTCCCTTAAGGAGAAGAATTTTCAGTATAAGTAAGCTTTTTAGTCAATTTAAAGTATACAAATCGAGACATTGCTTAAAGTGTATATACCATATTTTGTGCTTGAAACCTTTGAGCATTGTATTTTCATAGCAATTAAATAACTATTCTTTCCACATTCCAGTCTTTCAATGGATATTTATAGCATAAAATAATGTATGCTTTAAAAAAAACTTACTGCAAAAAGAGAGATCACATAATGCTTACTTAATAACAGATTGAACATAATTAAACCTAAATAAACCCTCTGGGCTTCTCAGACATAATTACTGGAGCTTCATTCTGAATTTTTAAACATAGGAAATATAAGACTAAACCAAGTAAAAAATGTTGGTTTATTTGAAATATTTGAAAAAAGGTTATTTACCTCCCGGACCCTTAATGGAGAATCATTCTTTGTCAAAGTCAAAGACAAATACCATATGATCTCACCTATAAGAGGAACCTAATCAACAATACAAACAAGCAAGCAAAACAGAAACAGAGACATGGAAATAAAGAACAAACTGACAGTGACTGGAAGGGGAGGGGGGAGGGGGATAAGAGGGGAAAGAAGGGGAAGGGTCTGTCAAGGAACATATATAAAGGACCCATGGACAAAGCCAGTGGGGGAAGGGAGAGGACTGAATGGGGAAAGTGGGGTGTGGGTAGGGCAGGGGAGAGTAATGGGGGGAAAATGGGGACAATTGTAATTGAACAACAATAATAATTTTTTTAAAGTCTTTTCCTTAGAAAGCTGACCCATAGTCAATCTACAAATAACACATAGAGACATTCTTAGGTGACTTACCAGATGATTCAAACCTGATTCAGTAATGAAAGGATCCAATTTGAGATTATACATGATCTCTTCGTGTCACATTTGCACTTACAATTCTCTAGCAAACATCCAATTTTCCTGTTGCTCTCAGCAATCTTTCTTGAAGCATTTTCTAGATGTCAGTGTCAATGGCTGGTCTTTGGAATCACTCTTAGAATATGTAAAAGTTTACAACTCACTTCATGGAGTCTGCCTAGATCTTGATATTACATGTCTTTGTTGTATACTTTTCATCATTGAAATTGCAGAAAAAGAATTTTTGGAAACTTCTGAGATATATACAGAACACTATACAACTAGTCAGCTAATAAAAGGGTGAGAAAAGCCAAGGAAACAGAATATCTTTAAGTCAGTAGCAAATATTCTCCAAGTCAATGTAGAGATAATAATTTAGTGGCAGTGTTCATCTTTTCTATGGCATTAAGAATTAGACATGTTATAAAATATTAATATTTAAAGGTTTACATTTCCTCTAATAATACAGCAACTGGGTGCAAAGTACACAACTATTGTACCAATTAAAGAAAACAATTTTTCAGTATTTTATCTGAGTTTTTAATTTAATCAATTTGGGTAGAATGAGTAAGATAGTTTTTTGTGTGTGTACTGTAGCACACCAATGAGTCCTAAGGATTTTGTTTCAGGATGAAAGGAAGAAAAAGAATTTCTCTTTCTCTCTCAGTATCACAAGTCTGATCTTCACACACACACACACACACACACACACACACACACATATCCATCGATATAAACATATATTTAGTTCTCTCCATAAACACATATGAAGTACTCTTCATTTCATTTTCTCATAAATCCTTTTATCTTTGTTGTTTGTCAAAAATAGAAAGAATGAGACAAGCTCAGAATATTCTAAAAAACAATGTTTTTAAGATGCACTGGAGTGTCCTGAATTGCTTTAATGGACAAATGGTGTAGTCACAATTGTCCAGTTTCTTATAGCAAAATTTAGTCAGGTTTGCTTACCATTGTGTACATATACCACAAGAGCACCATTTAGGACACTTTAGGGTTACTCACAGAATGTTAATAGGACTTATAAAAAATTATACCAACTGTGTCCAGATGGCACAACTCATGGACTGAGACTCATATCAGAGAACAGAAAGCATGCATTGTGTTAGGAGCAAGCTTTGTACAAGAGAAAGGACACTGGGTGTCAGGACATGTGACCTCTCTCTCTGGCTTTGCTTTGAACCAGCTCTGAGTATAGAGAAGTCAACTGATTTGTTTCTCTCTCACTTTTCTCCTTTACAAGATGCTCATTTAAACGCCCAAAAAGTATATGGTAAGTCATAATGATTCCAATCACACAACTTTTAATACAAAACATATAAAATCAATTTCAAAAATTTTATGTATATACTGAAAATGTTTGAGGATTGAACTAACTTTAGGCCTTCTCTAATTTCTTCTATTAAATGCAGGTACCCAATGTACCCTGAGAATACTGAACATAACTATTCTTTTTTTGCAAAAGGGAAACTAGAAAAAGACTCCCACAGAAAATTTATTGATAACAGGTGCTCAATTGTTTTTATACAATGATCAATGCCCCCTTTCATATAAATAATCAAGGGAGAAAATTTTTCTTTCTGTAGTCCCACCTATACACAAAAATCGGTTGTAAAGACATCATTTCCATGAGGAGGTATTCATTGTAGATGTACAAGGGTCTATGGAAAACTCAGTGTCCAAAAAAATAAAAAACAAACCCCGACAGATTATCATTCTAACCAACTGTATATTTACACAAAGGGTTAATAAAAGCTATCTGATGATATGATAAACTATCAATTATTGAGGAAATGTATACAGTTGGAAAATATTTTTCAAGACTTACCATCCAACAGACTAAAATTTCTCTTTTTAAGTTCTTCATGCCCCCTTTAAAACACTGTTAAAAATTTGAAACTAACATAATAACATTAAAATATAAATGAACCTAGTATTAACTGTGAACATATTCAACTTCAGAATTTGATATAAGTGCAAGTGTATATTAGAGTAAAATTGTGATGAAAATGGGTAAATCAAAACTGCCAAGATGACTGACTTTTCTTTTAAAATGTCCCATCTGTTGCTTAACTCCATAGGACAAATGTAGCAAAAGAGGAAGGTAACAAAAGGAAACAGGAAGACCTGTTTCAGTGAAAGGACATACTGATTTAATTGGCTAAGAAGTCCAAATGCTAATACTCCTAATAATCAGCCATTCTTTTTGGGTTTTGGTAACATATATCCTTATACACTGTATATCAAATGGAATTTTTTGATTCACATCTAACATTTCAAAGTTTCCATTTTTGAATTCCCCTAGTCTTATGTAAGTATCACATTGTCTACTTTGTTTGAAAACTATAACATTTTCCCCAACATCTAGGACTCCATGATGTAAAATGTCATTTTGCCGATCTTCTGTTCCAGTACTCACTTTAATTTTTTTAATCACAATTGGATTTTCAAATATAATCACAAAGACATCTCCTGTTGAAGGTGGTTTTCCCCAAAAGTACTCATCAACGCTACTGTAAGCCTTGCTTGCTTCATAATTTTCAAAAACATTCATGTTGGTATATAGTCTTGCAGGAGGGTTATCAGGGATGTCAAGTGACTCCTCTTCAAAATCGTCATCCTTCAGCTTATTCTCTGTCCCTTTATATGATGAATAATAACCCATGTGCTGAAAGAGAGATGGTTTAAAACGAATAACATTTTTCTGAGCCAAGAGACCCCGAAAATGAGTCAATAGCCAATCACAAGGCATTTCTTGATAAAACATTAATAAAAAATGTGCCAAACGTGGGAGGTCATGTGAATGATAAAGTTTTCCAATGTAGCCAAGCTTAGAAAACTCAAGAGTTACCCAGTAAGTTCCTTCTAGAGATGTAATAACTTTCTTGATGGCAGTTAAGAAATTTTTTGAACATCGAACATCATCTTCAAGCATCACATAATAGTCTGAAGTATTGGAACAAAAATTAAGCAGAAAAGCATAATCTACATTTTGCTTGGAACGAAATCTGACTCTATCTTCTGGATCATTGTAATTTCTTTTAAGGCCATCCAGGATTGGGTAATATTCCTCTGGGGCATGTATAACGATTAATCTTCCTGCAATAATATGGTGGGCAAATTTCTGTGTAATATCCTGAACCATGACCTCACGCCAGGATGAATTAAAGTCTGCTAGATGAACCACCACTGAGATTTCCTTGAGCTCTTCGTAGCTGGATTGCTCAAAAATTGACTTGATTGTTTCAAGTAAGTAGTTTCCTTTTTTTCGTTTCACTGATGATAGTCCAATTGTAAGAAACCCTGAGCAAAAGGATTCAGAAGGAGGACAAATTAAATGAAAACTAGATTTTGAATAACATAGAATAGAAGCAAAAAGTTATTTCCCCCAGGCTTCCTACTATATTAAGTAAATCTAGTGAATGATTATGTATAGAACATTTTGTGATTAAAATGTTATGTTAAACACATAAAAGCAATAGTAGCTTATACATAATTGATACTTTTTATGGAAAATTGCAGCTTAAGCACAATGATGTATGAGTCATTGCTGTAAACAATAAAATAAAAAATATCGTTTAAAGTGTTATTCAGCGTAATGTTCTCATATATACCCATTAGAGAAGATAGATATTTAGATAGTATAAATGCCATTTAAAAAAATCTGAGGAGGAGAAAATTCACAGTTAAAAATGATAGCCTCAAACTATGAAAACATAAACTAAGAATATTCTTTACTTGTCTCAAAAATTTTCATAGAAAAGATGTCATTTTAATTTTTCTTTGATCACTGTCATTATCTTATATCAGAAAAATGCATAAAAGGACTTCAAAACTTTATTTTGAAATTTATCTAGTAAGGTAATCAGAATGCAAACAGTATCATGAACTCATTTTGAAAAACTGCATTATTGCTCAAATGTATGGTACATTGTTCTAAGGCATGAATATTAATCTTTTATTTGAAATGCTTTTTATATTGATTTTATCTGGAGAAATTTTTATTCTGATACTAAAAACTAAAATTAGAAATTGAATATATTTAAAAATAAAATTAAACCTGGTGAAACGACAGTTTGACTCTGAGAAGTGTTAGATGTCTTTCTATGGAAATATTTTCATTTTTTAAAGTTCTCATTTTCACCACAATTGAGAACAGAATAAAATTTCAGAACCACAATTTTTAAAACAAGAACATGTTTATGTTCACTAAGATCACTGTTTTACTACAGATACCTACATAATGTGAATTGTGCAATACTGAAAAAAGTCCTTTCAAGAAAATCTTTCTTACTAGTCTGTCAGCAAAGTAGAGATTTACACATTTTATTTAAATACCTGACTTAGTACTCTGACTTCTGAAAGCTGATGTACTACCTGTACAATTAATCTCAAGCCACCAGCCTACATTAATGCCTAATAATGGCAATGCTAATATAACACTTTCTACAAAAAAAGGCAGAAGTTTATGCACTTTACTTGCAATATGCATCTTAATATTCCTAACAGTCTTGGTGTAGCTTTGTGAACCTCATTCCTGCTTTAGAGCTAAGGAAATTAAATCACAGTGAGGTTAGGTAACCTGTGCAAAGTGCATCATGCAGAAAGTAGTGTGGTGGCGAGATTCAAACTGTCCTGCCCTTACTCTCTGTTCTACATTGCCTCTTTCATATAAAGCACTTGGCATATGTGCCAATATACATTAGTAAACTGAGCATGGGAAAAGGGAAATGAGTAATGTTTGAACAAAGGTGATGTAACAGATGTAGGTAGAAAAGTTTGTGGCAGTCTTATGCAGTTAAAAAGAAGCTTAAGAGAGGTAGATACTTGAAATGGTAAAATGAATGACAGATCTAAAGAAATCTGAGTTAAGTTACCATTTCCTCAATTTGGTGATCACAAATCCACTTGCATAAATTCTTCTTAACAGGGAACTCAGTTTTTGTGGTATTCAGACAATCTTTTAAGAAGTTCATGGTATCACTGTATTTCATTGATTCTCAAATTCATATTTTATACAGAAATATTTAAAAATTGTTGCATATTGTAATTGATGGCATCTTACTATTAAAACTGACAGGCACTCCTATTTTCTTAGTGGTACAGTAATTACATCATGATGAAATGCAATATGTTACTTTCTGGATTCAAACTGCTTGTAGTAAGTTGAATTGTTTCCTCCAACAATTCATGTCTACCTGAAACCTCAGAGTATAACCCTATTTAGAAGTAGGGTCTTTGTAGATGTAATTAGTTAAGGATCTTGTGATATATTTAAATTGGATTTAGAGTGGCCATTAAATTAAATGACTAGTGACCTTATAAGAAGAGAAGACTCAGAGAGACAAAAGCAGGCAAAAGGAAGTAGGCCATATAAATATAAAGGCAGTGATTGTGATCATGCTACCACAAACCAAAGAATGCCCAGAGCAATCAGAAACTTCAAGAGGCAAAGGAGTATTCTCCCCTAGACCTCCCCTAGTGTGCGGCATGGCCAGCACGGTGATTTCAGACTTCTGGCCTCCACCATTGTGAGAGAATGCGTTTCTGCTGTGAACCACCTAGTTTGTGACATATGCTATAACATCTTGGGAAACAGATACAATGACTTTCACTAATTAAAAGCTGGTGGCAAGTTACAAAAACCAAACCATTAAAATTTAAAAATGTATCAAAATGAGAATCATTATTTTTAAAAGAAAACTTTAAAAATTTTTATATTTAAAATGCATTGATTTTTTCCTAGTCTCTACATGGTTCTACAGCAAACTGCTAAAAAGTTCATAGACAGTGAGGCATTTATTTTTTTTATTAATAGAATTGGATCAATGAGTAATTGTATTTAGTGAAGAGACATTAAAATATTTCCCCAAAATAGGTTATAATAATAAACCCTATAAGTTTTTATTGCTGTACAAATGAAGCAAATCTTCATTATGTTTAAACAAAATATTTTAGTACTCTTGACTTAAAATTGTAAGGGTACTTACGCTTTCTTTGTAAAGGAGTGGAAGCTAAGTAGCGATAGGTGACATTGATGGCTCCTGAGAAGTTAGATAAATCTTTGAAAGTATGCACATAGCGTTCTGAATTCAGCTGATGTGTGGATGTTTCCCTTATAAATTGTTTGTCTCCTTCCTGAGTGCCAACACAGAGGCAGAGGAAATAAATGAATAATAGATGGTCATGGATTAAAATAAAGCTTCTCCTTATACAATGACTGTATGTGTCTAATATATAATATGCATATCATATAAATCTCAATTACTGGCACTGCCATAGATCATTATCTCTCACCTCAATTCCTACCTAGAGTCTCTGCTCCAGGCTCATTCTACTCTGTTGTACTCTCCATACTATACTTGTGTTTGTTTATATATATATATATATTTATATATATATATATATATATAAATATAAATATATATATATAAATAATGACATTATCTTGATTAAAAAAAAATCTCTGCATGAAAACTCCCAAATGCCTTCATGTTAAAATTCAACTTCTTTACAATAATTCCAGGATCTTAAAATTTGATATTAATCTATTTTACAGTTTCATGTAAAACTAATTGCCACTAAATTCCCCATATTTTAGTCATTAAGCTATTTTCTTTTCTTTAAGGACTGGCTCCTAAAAGATCGCCCATTATTTCTGATTGGGAAATTTTAGGGATAATAAGGAAAATGCAATACTAGATATAATTGGGTTTTGGATAATTTATTAATCAAGAAGTGTTAATGAGTAACTTATTCGACCACAATAATTGAAGGGTGCTGAGAATGCTGGTTGTGACAGCTGGTTGTGCTGAGAATGCTGGTTGAGACAGGGCAGTGTCTTATCCACACATCTTTGAGGTGCCCCAGGTAGAATACATTTGTACCAAGTCAAGGAAAAGTCTTCAGCTCTTCCACTAGCTTTCCCATAATATGTTTGCTCATTGCTTGTGTGTGTGGTATTCTGTTGGAAGTGAGAGGTCTGATACTTTTATTTGTAAGATCCCTTTTAAATGTCTATTTGGAAATGGACTTATACCATTCAATCTTTGGGAAGGTTTATATTTCAGAAAACATATCCATATTTGGCTAAAATATATCCTGTTAACCATTCATTGCTTCCCTTTTCTTTTTTTAATATAAGTTCAATTGTGTATATTTTTTCTAATCACCATTTGATCAAACCTCTATTGGTTGTATATTATTTGCAAAATGATGACTTGTTTGGTTTTTGTATATGGTTTACTACACATAGGAAATGTTTGGGGACAACCTATTTAGGAAAAAATGGTGTTTTTTGGCAAGATGTCTACTGTGTGGTTTTATGGAGACCTATTTCAACTCTTTACTGTAGAATGGCAGGGTAGGCATGTGCAAGCAATTAAAGGGAAAGTGAATGCATTAAATAATTTTGGTCCTCACATTTTTGGTCAATAAAACTTTAATTAACCCTTGTTTTGAAAGATTCGTAAGCATTCAAATACACAGTTTACCTCAATTGGAACATTTACTACTTTGTGTCAAATTCAAATGTCAATGGAAAAGGTAACTAATCAAACTTTTAAATCTATGGCCAGACTGGTATTTGTTTAAAATTAAAGTTGAGAATCATTGACCACAACAGGGAGGAGCTTTCAATCTGGTCCTTGCTAAAATGAGATTCATTCTTATCTTCTTTCTGTATATTCAGTTCTGTTTATAAACCTACCTTTGCTTTTTAACACTATATTTCTATATTTTATATCATTTTGATAATTTGAACAAAGACAAACTCTTTAGTCTTTTACAAGATTTACAATACATTTGCCATCTGTAAGTTACAGACTTTGAAATTATATAAAATTAAACCTTGGATGCTAGATTTTTAAGAGATATACTAATTAACTATCCATTGAACCTGATTATTTAAAACTTTAAATTTAAACATTTTCATTTTTGTCTTTCTGAAAACCTATAAAACATTATTAAAGTTTTAAATGAGAAAATTTAGGATTGTCAAAAATACCTAGGACTCAGTTTAGCATCAGCTGCTTTAATAGTAATATAATGGTGTCCATAATCAATATAGTCTAGAAGATACAGCTGTAAAATTACAGTAGTCACAACACTGAATTCATTTTACCATTCTGTCTTTGGGTGATGCCACATTCTGAAAGAAGTGCATTATATTGGATATTACTTTAAGAATTCTATCTCCAACATATAAAAATCTAGATTCTTTGTGATAAGATATAATATATTCATGTTGATTGAAGGACATAGAATATAAAATATTAAAATGGAACAAATATAAAATAACTTTATGAAATTCTGAAGAATAAGCTTTACCTTTTTCAACATAAATAAACAATGAAACTTTTACCAGAGTTAGCCTTCTTGGCTGCTTTCCAGAGGCACATACCTGAAAAACCAGGCTCTATCTGGATACCTCCTTTTTGTCGCACTGTGTTATAGTAATAGTTCTCAGTAATAAGACGAAGCTTTATGACAATAATTTTCTTGATGGGAATACAATTCAATGGACTAGCTACAGAATAAATATATACTCTAGTGGCTACTTTGAAGATGCTCATAGCCCAGAGGCTAAGTTGATTGGACATGTAGTGTCTCTTCTACTTGGTTTGCATTGTGATACTATTTGTCTCATACAACCACTGAAAGGCACATGGGCCTCTAATATGTGGGGAACACACTGAACTGTTATATGCCAATGGATTGGTATGCCACCAATATATTTCCTAGCAAAAAGAGTAGAACTGAATTTGCTAAGTAACTCTGGAGACTTACTACTTTTGTTACTCTGATTTAACTGAATTTTAACTAGTATATTCCCTGAAATAAGAAAGACATGAAAAGAAAGACCAACTAATGTCTAAGCTTAGAAAATTGCATCCATTGTGTCATTTTAGAATCAAGAGAGAAAATCAAGTCAGATAATTTTGTGGAAAATGAAATAACACAGATAAGGTCAGAAAGGGCAAATGTTAAAAAGAAACTGCAGTCAATATTCTATTAGGGGATCAGTTTCCCATGAATAATCAAACATTTTTAGAAGAACAATTTTAATGTATTTTACATTAATATTTAAAGAATGTTGCCAATATTAATACATATTGAGCATTGGGATAAATTTTAGCTCAAAATACAAATTAGGTAGTTAATATCATCTAGTACATAATGAAAAATTAAATGAATAAAATACTTTCATTGCATTTTTCAATTATGGGGTTTCTTGTATTTAAAATCATTTTAACTTATTTTTTCCAACTTGACTTGGGGTGATGAACACATAACAGTGTAAAGATGATGTGTTGTAAAAAAATAGAGATTTTAAAGCTAAGAAGTAATTTCTTTTCTATACCAGGGCTAATTTGCAAATTTGACTAGAAAGATAGGAGGTTTGTCCAGAAAAAATTCTCGTTATATTAACAATGTAACAATATTGTTAATATGCAATATTGACCACAATTACAATATACCATATACAACATAATATACAATATACAACAATTAACAATATCGTTAATATAATGAGAATGGTTTTCACGATATCAATGTAAACTGACAGCCAAGGACAGTGGCCTGCAATACACATGTATGAACAATGATGACTTCACTGTACTAGTAAGAGGGGGTGGAGGACTTTATTGAGTGAGCAAGTGTACTGTGTGGCCATGGCATTCAAACTGACTGAGCAGGTAGAGCAATGAATCTGCATCAAATTTTGGTCTAAATTAAGCTTGAACATTCCTCTGTGGAAACCATTCAGATAATTCAGAAGGCTGCAGCTATGGGCAACTGGTGATTGGCAGCTTCATCATGACAATGCACTGGCTCATGCATCATGCCTCATTCAGAGCTTTCTGGTGCAACTTCAAATCACCCAGGTGACTCAGTTCCCCCTAAAGCCCAGATTTGGCACCCTGTGACTTCTGGCTTTCCCCAAAACTGAAAGCAACTTTGAAAGGGAAGAAATATCAGACCACTGATGAGATTCAAGAAAATATGATGGGGCAGCTAATGGTGATTCCAGAGTATTTTGAGCAGTAGAAGGGAGGCTGGGAGAACTGTGTGCGGTCACAAGGTGTCTGCCTTCAAGGGGGCTGAGGCAGCATTGCCCTATGAACAATGTTTCTTGTGTCCTGTATCATCTTTAATAAGTGTCTCTATTTTTCATATTACATGGCTGGACACTCTCTAACTAATAAAGCCAGAGGGAATTTCAATGAGAAAGTACTTTTTAGTAAGAGTTACTTAATTAAATTATTATCTTTTACATTAGGGGGCTAGGACCTATTTTTAAATAGGAATATATAATATCTAAAACAGAGCAATAATATTTGACCTTCTCATGTATATATAGTCTATTACTTTTTACACATTTTATAATGAATTTAAAAAGATTGTATTCCAAAAAGATATAAAGATGTTTGTTGTACACAGTGATCTTCTGTCTATTCAAAATGAAATTAAAATTGCTCCTGAAAGTATCTCATAAATGCAGCAAATCACTGAATGCAAGCATCCTGCCAATACCACATGTTTGATTTGCAAGATGTCATTTCCTTCTACCAGTAGACACAGATGCAAGAAGTAAACTGTCATTGCACAATTAAATCATTAAGAGCTTCTTTAGTTAATTTATGATCTTTAATTTTATTTTAAAAAGTTGGATCACATGGGCTTTGCTCAATTGTCCTTAAATCTTATAAACCTAATAATCAAGTTTCCAAAATGTATATCACTATTAAATTTCTCCAGTGCACTGTTTACCTAAATCATGCCTAGTCAAATTATATTAATCTGTGTTGGTTCAGCCATTGTGAATTGACTGAATGGTAGATTGACAAGTCCACGAGATCAAGAACTAAACCTGAAGGTAAAAGGCCTAGACAATGTCAAGACAATAGGTATCTGGCCAAATTTCACAATGACAGAAAAATGCAAAAAATGGCACAGTGTTTTATAGGACACCTTCTAAGAAAATCTGCACTTATAAGGTATGGTTACTTTATAGGATATGGAATAGTATCTGGAAAATAGTGGATAGTTAGTAAACCATGTTAATTAATAAAATAAAATAAAATAAAATAAAATAAAATAAAATAAAATAAAATAAAATATTTTATTGAGAAATAGTCTGTGGTTATTTTCAGATTATCTCTTACTAAAGTATTAATTCAAACTTTCAGTATACTGGCATGGTGGAAAATATTTTTCAGTCCTCTGTATGTCCAAATTTAATTTTCTGAAATATGTGAACAGAAATAATAACATACAAATTAGGATATTTTCCAGATATCTTAGGCTCAGCCTTGATAGAAAATGTAAATAAGCAATAATGTCCATGTTATTCTCATCACACATAAAATTATTCTATAATTACAACAATAAATAATTGAAACAATTTAAGTTCTCACAATTAGCCAGAATAAATCCTTTTGAGTATTTCCATAATTCATTTAAAATTAATTAATACATTTTACTAATTTATCTTTTATAAACTACTGAATAGTTTTTGAGGTTCTATATTACTTATCAGTAAATATAAATATATAACTTGGTGGCCTTGTAGGGCAATTCAAAATCTAAATGAGATGTCACATATTGCAATAAAATATTACTTCTTAGCAAAATAGCACAATTAATATTAGTTATACAATGAGATTTTGTAACTATTGATAATACAGAAAAGCAGAAAAAATAAGGTGTAATACCATTAAGCAGATTTTGTTTTTTCTATATATTTCAAATTAAAGCTCAAATATTGAAATGATTTTACATAAGATTAATTCAGCACTGATGATAGCTAACTTATTTGTAATTAGATATAAACATTTGTGCCATAATATATATAGTGTTAAAAATATTATAACATAAATTAAAACAATTGTGAAGTTGGTGATATAAAATTAATACAAAAAGTAGGTAGAAAATATATATGTTATAATTTTGTTCAAACTAAGGCTATTTCAATAGCTAGAATTGAAGTTACGTTATTAATGAACTACGTCTAATTTGAATTAGGCCTTATTTTAAACAATAACAACAAAAACCAACCTCCAAAACTTACCAGAACATAGCTGTCTTCAATGTACAAGTTCATAAATAGAAGGAAAATGACAAGAACTCCCAAGAATGACACTGTAGAACGTTTTCGCAGGCATCTCATTTTATCCAGTATTTCAAATATATGTTTCACTTGATGAAATCTAAACATTCTTTCCTGTAGAACAGAGGCACATAATTACTAACAATTAATTTGGATGAAAATATTTCTTCATCATATATATCAAGAACCAGGCCCTTATAAAATCTCACGTTTCAACTGTCTAAGCTAAAATTTATTCCAATGTCACATATAAGATTGGTATAGATTATTAATACATCAGCATAAGATCAATGAAGAAGTTTATATTGATGTGGAGCAAATCAAAATGGAAGGGAAATCTCAGTTATTTCTGAAAAAATGAATCTTGGTAACGATACTGTAAGAAAAAATAGATTTCTGCCTTGATCAGTGTGGCTCAGTTGGGCATCATCCCACAAAGTGAGAGGTTGCTATTTGTATTCTTGGTAAGGGCACAAGCTTATGTTGTGAGTTCAGTCTCCAGTCCAGGCCTGTAAGAGAGGCAAATAATAGAAGTTTCTCTCTCACAATTTCTCCATCCCTTCCCCTCTCTCTATAAAATAAATAAAAAACATCTTTAAAAATAGGTGTTTAATGAGAAACAGAACAAAAATAAAGCAAATAATAGATGACATGTCAACTTTCATTAGTGAGATATAACAATACAATAATATTTCCCTCCCCATAATATAATGTAATGCAATGAAAGAAACCAGAGAAATATGGACCTAATATTCATCCCAGGTGCACTGAACATGCACTGAAAAGAGCTATTGGGTGGAAATTTGGAGGAAAGAAAGTCATAAAGGAAATTAAAATTTTGGGTGTTAGTCCCAATATAATATATTTAAGAGCTTCTGAGGTGCATTTTTTTGCTTATTTTTTTTAATAATCCTCATTAAATCAGACTGGATAATGGAGTGTCATAGTTACAATATGCCTTGCTTGGTCTACTAAGTAGGAGTTTGGCTGTTTGTAATAATTTATGGGCTGCTAAAAAGCAATATTAAAGTCAGCAAGATTAGTACCAACTTAGTATTTTCCCATTAGCTTCTTCTGTTTTGTGGTATCCTTCAATCACAAATGCATTTAGATTAATGATGGTTTTAAAAAATAAACATATCTGAAATGATCAAAAGACTAGTTGAATCATTTTTTCTAAAATTCAGTAGTCTGGAAATTGTCTCTGAGTTCATCTTTAGAATGAAGTATTCATGTGCATATAGAACTTTAGGAAATAAAAACAGCCTGTACCCCGAACCCTTAGAACAATGTCTAGGACATGGCTGGAAATCAATGTCTATTAATGCAAGAAAGAATTTTTGGATTCCCACAAGAAGGAATATTAGGAAATGGAAGAAAGGCTTAACAAAGGTAAAGAATAGAAAAATTCTAAAAAATATATCATAAGTAGTATTATTTCTTTTAGCCATATTTTTCTCCAGGGTTCTTTTCATTTTTCTTGTTTATGTGTAGCAGTTTTAAATATATGTATATAAATAAATGCAAATGTGCTAATTGTTGCTTATATTGAAAATATACAAATATTTTCCCCAAGTATTTCTTGTACTTATTTCTTTTTCATATCACTTTTGCAGTATAATGTTTTTGATTCAAATTTATTTCACAAATGCAGGATTGTTTTGTACAATGCTTAAAAATTCCACCCTTTTTTTAAAATGTTTCATAGAAAGTCTCTTTTATTTTATTCTGGGATTGTTTTTATGGATAATTTTTTAGTACACCTGTAATTTATCTTTGTGTTTTTTATTTGGTAGTGGAAGAATTTTATCTTATTTTTTCTATGTGGAGAACTGATGGTCTCCTGTTCACTGTGCACTGGCCATAACTCTTGTGCCTATTTCTGATGTTAGAGATGCATTTTATCTCATTGAGGATATTTTTTTTATCCCTAGATTCTTGAGACTCTTTATTATGTCTGACTGTTGAGTTTTGTCAAATACTCTTTCTCCATCTATTGAGTTAATCATATGGAGTTTGTACTCCTTTTATTTTTTTTGTTATGATGGATTATACTGATTGATTTTAGAATCCAAACCAAATATAATTATATAATTGGTAATGCATTATTATTTCTATATTATAGGATTTAATTTTTAACATTTTATTTTTGCATTTATATTCTTCAGAAATACTGATCCATACTTCTCTATTGTCTAATAGTTTTGTCAGCTTTTGCTGTCAGAGTGCTGGTCTCAGAGAAGCTTATTTTGCTTCACTGCTAAGGCAATATTCTTCTGAGTACTGATACTCAAAATATTACAAAGTTTCTCTATTTGGAAGGATGGAAGCATGAATTATTACTGTCTTTCCATCCTAGAAATTATTCTAACTATTCCCTTCCAATGATTCTTTACCAGCTATTGTTAGTTTTCATGCACACATGAACTGACAAATTCTTAGCTGAAGATGTAAAAAAAACCCTTGTCCAGATCTCTGGAGTTTTCTCTCCTCTCTCTGCAACTGTGCACCCCATGTAGCCTTCTTTTCTTTGGTACTCTGAATTCTTTCTACTTCACAATTGCAAAATTTTCAATGATGTCTTCTCAACTCAGGGAGAACACCTATCTCATTGGGTTCACTCTCCTCACGCTGTAGCATAAAGACTCTCTGCAATAAGTGGGGCAATTGCCTCATTTGTTTCCCTTCTGTCAGGAATCATCACCCTTTTCTGCTTGTTATTCAAGGTCTGAAACCTCACATGAGTAGTCTAGCTTTATTTGTATTTTTATTTTTTAAGGAGAAAATATAAATCTGATCCTTATTTCTCTTTCACAAATACTTTTCATTTTCTTGAAAAATATTGCTGCATTATTGTCTTGTTTTTAATGTTACTTTTGGGACATCTACAGTGACTTGTTTTTCTTTCCATTATAAATGAGTAGGCACATATAAATGAATTGATTGTGTTACGTAGAAGCTTGTTGAATATTTTATCTTTAAGATTGAATCAGATATGCCTTGAAGTTATCCATTTTTGATCAACTTTTCAGGAATTACTAGGGAAACTTCAAGTGATAAACACACTTATTCACTAATATATTTAACTATAGACTAATTTTTAAGCAAAAGTAGAACATATGTTGGAGGAATAGAGTGTATATGCTATATGTTCTGACAATGAAAAAATTAACTGCTAAAATGTAATAAAAGAGAGAGTAATAGGGAAGTAGAATAAGTTCATCTATATCTACAATGTGTAGATAATATGTGTCGGTCAAAGACTGTAATTTAAATCAAATAAAACAAACAGAACAAAAAATGGAAATATAATTAATGGCATAAAGATACTAGTAAAAAGTGACTACTCAAACGAAATACACAAAAACTTTTGAATATGAAAAGAAAATACAGAAAAATATCTGCCAAATTAACCACAGAGAAATATATTAATCATTCCATAGTATATAAAGTAATTATACCATATGGTAATAGAGTTGAGGCTAAGGACATTATATAACAATAAACATAAATAAGTTTAGGTGATTTTTGAAAGAAAAAGATTTTCCAATTGATGTGAGTTGTGTATGCATGCATATCCATAGACACACATGAACTTTAATTTTAAACTGTTTAAAAATAAATCAAACAATGTCATCCACAAAGGTTAATGGTGAAAGAATAGACAAAGAATTTTAGGCAAGTTCAAACAATAACATACCATAGTTTGCAACTGTGATATAAAATGTTGGTGAATATAGGCCATAAAAACATGAAACTGTACTATTAAGTCTATTTATAATGTTAAATGCCATGATTCCCAACAACATATGTATGACTAAATAACACAGTGAGAGACTACCTAAATCTGAAACAAAAGAAATTCAAGAAGTCAAAACACCTAATGCTGGGAGCCATGAATACTCACAGATCAACTCAATTCAAGAGTCCAAAAATTGTCAAATATTATAGAAGAAAATGCATAAATCAAGAATTCTTAGAAATATAAGCATATATTTATGGATCCACAGATAGAGTGAGGGATATGAATATTCTTCTCTCAGAATTTGACAGTTTAAATAGCTAAAAAATAGCAAGAATGGAGAATCTAAAAAATCCCAAGTTATCTCTTACTATTTTGATATTTGTGTGAGTTTTTGTCAACAAAGTATATATGATAGCAAAAGATTATGACAAATGTTTTCTGTCTGACCATAGGGCGATATGATTCAAAATAATTTAATAAAGGAAGAAAGAGCCACATACCACAAAAGAGATGCTAATGATTGAGAATACTAAGGTAGAAAATGGATGGAGAGAAGTGGAGAGATTTAAAAGGAAGGTAACTCTTAGACATCAGGATAGAGTTATAGAGTTGGCCCTACAAACTTAGAATTTTAATACACAGACACCTTGTAAAAACATCAGTCTCTCAGGGACCCAGTGTAAAAAAAGTAAACATGTTGAAAAAAGTAACTAATAAAACTAGTTATTTATTGAAAACTACTAAATCAAAAATGGCAAACACAAGCTCACTATTCTGTGCAAACTGGAAGATTAACAGCATGTAAACATTTGGGTTCACATTTTTAAACAGAAGAGCACATCCTAATAATGTAAACTTCCATACAGCATGCCCCTGCTTGAAAATATCAATCATACAAATAAGGACAAATTACTTGAGCAGTATTGGGGTTCCACATTCAATAATATCTTATTTGTTAGAAATTTTCCACTAGTCTTGGAATAATTTTAGAAAGGGCAAAAAGTATTTTTAAAAGGTCATGGGTTGATTATTACAGATTAGGTTCATTTGGAAAAAAATTATACCTCATATTTTCATGCTTTGAGTGAATTCTTTTCTCAGATTGATTCATCATCTTTATATACCTTAAATGTCACCAGAAATTCATTTGCTAACACATGCTACAATACACTTTATCTTTTTCAAGTGCAATGGGAAATGCTGAACAAGTTTTGTTTATCAGTTTTACTGCATTTTCAAATACAGCTCCTGTTACAAGTTTATAATATAACACATTTATGAATACAATTATAGAAAAGAAGAATATATAATATTGCCATACTTCTGCCCCAAATGTATGCAGAGTTGGCATATCTGGTTCAAT